GAAGATTGGCAGGGAAAACCAAAGTACTCAGAGAAAACCTGCCCCAGCTCCGCTTTGTCCACCACAAATCCCACTTGACCAGACCCGGGATCGAACCCGGGCCGCCACGGTGGGAAGCCAGCGACTAACGGCTTGAGCTATTGCTCGGCCCTGCTTAAAACTTACTAGGACTGGAACTTCAAGAAAATAACACTGGCATATGTACAAACATGCATCATTATGAGTGATTTTACAAGATTCGTGTCCTTTATTGTGGCTGGGTAATGGTAATGGTAATGGTTCGTAGTCAACAGTTTTGTGTTTCATATTTGTTATTAAATGCTTAAAAGAAAGAGTAACTAAAACACTGAGTTATTACAAATTGCTGGGGACTGATTAAAAGGTTCCATCCTAGAATTTCTCTAGTACATGGATAGGAATTTGAAATTCCTTCAACTCCTTCTGATTGACACACGTACGTGTAACCAAGTAACTAATTAAATGAAACAAAGTCCTTTAAGAGAAGCTAGCAGTCGCCAAATAAGTCAATAAATACCTTGAATTTATTCAAACCTGAAAGTTTATTGCCCACAATGGTCCCTATTGAGAGATAAATAAATCACATCCACAACCTTCCACCCTATTTCTTTAAGATTAATTTTAATGTTACCTTTCCATGCATGCACGAGTCTTCAAATTCTTTCTTTCCTTTAGATATTTTGACAAAAACTTTGTATACACTTCACTTCCTTCCCATATGTGCAATTTATGTGTAATCAGAGCAATTCGTTTGTGTGCAGCATACTGGTATGTATGTGTACATGATTTAAACTTTCATGCCAATTGTATGCATTGAAGTCTCCTTGTGCAGTCAACCATGTGAAGAAATAATTAGTATTCCAGTACACTGATTGATCACCTAAGAAGACTTTAGTTGCATAATAATATATTGTAATGTAAATAAGCACCTGTGAGTCCCTTTAACCCAGAAAACTTTGATGGAAAATATCAAGTCTTTTGGAAAGAAGAGAAGATGCAAGAGGAAATGAAAAAATAATGTAAACTGTTAGAGAATTATCTGCATTAATTTGACTTCCTTGAGGCGTAAGTAGAAGTTTGGCTTAACCTTTACCTTTGCAGAACTTGCAGCAATTGCCAGGCACGCTAAATTGTTCTTGTGGGCTGCATGATAGTGGTGGGCACATAGTTTCAGGATCAATGCGCTTACATTTCATTAAACCATCAAGACATTCACACTCAATGCACTCCTTTGGGTTTACAGATTCCCCATGGTCGTACATCACTCCACTCAGGTAGCACTGCTCTGCACACAAACACAAAGAAAATACACACAACATATTTAGTTAAATATATTCTGCAGAACACTTAAGTGTAAGGAGTGGTATGGCTTCCTCCTTACAGTACAGAAATGTTGCAATTTAGATATACTTTCATGCACTTGGTTGTATTGATGTACTAAAATATATACATGATGAAGCATAAGAGTTTATAATCATATGGACAGCAGTTCATGGACTCAGTATAGGTCCTGTCCTGGCTCAGTACTCTTACAATCATGTTATGAAACACTGTAGAATACTTAAACGTTAATGAGTCCAGTAAAAGCATGCAATTTGATTTAATGATTGATTCTTTACTGTTTTCGTCATATTTTCCCATTTGATTTTCTCTTATGTTTCTATAACAGTTGTGCAAAGTGATTGTTACATATCTGTGGTACAGTACTTGGTAAAGCTTCATTAAATACAAAGACAAATTAACAGAAATGCCCTCTGAGAGGTTAGTCTGGATAGAATTGTATGGAACCAAACTTGAAGAAAAACAGCATACAGTGGATAATTGTCGTTTTGCAATGATGAAAATAACTGAAGGCCAAAACATCCTTGTCTACTTCAGTCACCAGGGATATCTACTTGTGAAAATTCATATCTTCATTTCTCAGAAGAAGACGTTAAAATGATGTAGAATTTATGGTCATCCAGCCCTTTCTCACACAGTGGAGTGCACATCTTTATGTTTATGGTAGCTAGACAGAGTAAATGTCTTATTCAGTATTGGGTGAAAATGTGAACTAGCCATATTAAGATAATTTTATGCTGCAGACAAACAGAAAGTAACATGTTTCACATTAGGTGACTCAGTTTCTACTTATCCTTTTCTACCTATCCTTTCACTGAATAACCTTAATGTTGTGGGGAGGTCTGCATGCCTTGACCACTTGACAGCTGTGTTAACAGGTGTGCAAGCTTCAGGAAGATTCACCCAAGCCAGAGAAATTGAAGGGTAAGGGACAGATTAAACATAGTCCCTTGACCTCCATCCTGAAAGTTGGGTATAAGGTTGGAAACCTCACCTTTGAAAACAATTTATGCTAAGACAGATGTGGATCCAGAAAAGAACTGGCATCTGTCATAACGGTGGCAAAGATTCTTGGAGGCCCATGCAACCAAGAAGTAAGTATATTGTCGCGTATTGGGCGTATATCGCGACAAATAACTTCTCAATGTATTTAATGTAGCGAATTTTATTTCACATTCGCACTTACAATCACCCAATTACAGATTTACGGTTACTGCTATCTGCAGTATCACAATTAGTACACTCCAAATGCCAGAATACAACTGACTAGTTGCTGGCTAACTCGGCGGAGCTCCAGGACTCACTGACTGACTCAGTACAACTGTGTTAGGCGGCTGCTACAGTAGAACTCTCTGGTAGCCACATTAGAACTGACTGGTACCAGCTGTGCAGCTCACTTATATAGCTGCAGTGCTTGCCGGTTGCGTAATGAGTGCCACGTCACAGTAGGAAGTTGATTACGGGTACATAGTGATGCGCGTTACGTCATCGCGGAGGGGAGTGGCGGGGCGGGAACTCGCCTATTACCGTAGTAACGCGAGCGTTACGTTACCGCCACGTACCGCTGGGGAGGTAGGGGTGATCCATAGCTCAACATGTCACAATATAAACAATGAAGTTCCTATATAGTTACCAATACTCTGTAATCCAGACCAAATAATTTTGCTTAACGGATATTAACTATACTTACTAAGGCAACTTGGGCAGCACTCTCCAGGATTAATCACAGGGTTCTTGCACCTTATGTTGGGGCACTGCACAGGCCGACATTGGATTTCACCATGCTGCAAGAAGACAAAGTTGGTTAGTAGTGCACAATCGTTTCTTGCCAACAGAAGTGAGTCCAGAACTACTGCAATGTCATTTGTTCTTTAATATGGATGTGAAAGCTGTTCTTTCATTCTAAGACAAGAACATAAATTGAAAATCTCTGAAAACGGACTGTAGAGGGTAATTTCTAGACTCAAGATAGAGGAAAACGTCGTTTAAGGACAATTTCAGGAGGCAATTTTATGGAAGAAAATTCCCATATATTCAATAATATCTCCGTGTTGTGATGCTGGTTCCCACTCTATGCTAAAAATAGAATCTAGTAATTTTCTAATGATGATGTAACAAGAAAAGTCATTATCCAAAGACAACCTAATTTCAAAGATATAAATTTTTTGACACAGTCTAACACAAGGATGGAGATAATTATATGAAGAACTTCTAAGTTGTACTCTCTGAATAAAAATATTTGGGCAATTAATAAAAAAGAATGGGATGGTTCGAAAATTTAGCAGACATGAAATAAAATGATAAAAGTTAATGAAATTTTGGTTGGAGAACATTGAGGGAAAACCTAGACATATGCGCATGAGTAATGTTAAAAATGATCTTAAAGAAATGAGTGAAGCTGTTGACAACTTCAGGTAATTTAGGACTGGATCCAATGGCAAGCACCTGTGAGCAGTCACAAGCCTTCAGGTTCCAAAAAGTAAGAAATGTCCTGATAATTGACTTCTATGTTAATTGTTATAGCATGGAGTTTTTTGATTGAAAGAGATTTGCATTCCAAACCACCATTTAAGTATCTGCACATGAAATTAGTTATATATTATTATTCTAATTTCACACAACTGTTAGTTTCTCAGCACTATGCTCTGAGTCTGGAGGATATCACAATTGAGAGAATATAATATGAGAGAAAGATAAAATATAAAGAACACTTTCTTGATCCCTTCCACATGACCTCTGCAAATACGAAATTAAAATCTCACCACACATGCACAGATATCACACCCTCGCTGCCATGTTGCACCATCTGGATGTACTGAACCATTCACTCGACAGGACTTCTGGCAGTCACACTCTTCTACACGACTTATCCTTCCCTCTGCTGCTACCAGCTGTAGGTCAAACAATAACTGTCAATGCAGATGTTTCAGCTGCCTATGGGTAATAAATGGCACAGGCAGCAATTTTCAATGCATGTATATGAAGGAACTTAATGTACTTGTGCAAAAATTGGAATATATGACTCCTATAAAACTCTGGAAGAGAAGTTACTTAACTGTATTCAGACCTGTTATGTGCATCATAATGTACACACTTTTAATATTTTGTGGATGTGATTGATTTGCAGTTTCTTCACCACTGTATCAGTTACATAGGTTATTTAGTGGCCGATGAAGTGCTTGGATAATCAAATATAGAAAATATTAGTTTAAAAAAGGAAGTCTTGGCTGACTTGAAGATATTGTGCCAGTTTTGCCTAGTGAGAGAGAAAAATCACAGAAGACCTCAGCCAGGATAGCTGGTAATATGGTCAATTTTCAGTTACATTTCTGGAGCCTCATCACATTTACCTGTTCAGTTCTGAAGTAATGTTGCCTTTTTATTATATTGACAGGAATTTAAAGTGTTCACTTTTATGAACTGCTTCCACTGCAAAGAAGAAGGACTGAATTTTGTGGTCAAGTAGGTAACAGTGCTGTTTCACATTCACAGTGTTCCAGGTTCAAATTTCATCACAGAAATTATCTTGCCTGAGGTTCAATACGGTTATCTTCAGTTCCTCTAAGACAATGTTGGGACAGTATCTTCAATTATGTCATGACTGCTTAGTATCATATCTTATATAAGCTGATCTACTGAAAACACCTTTAAGCAACCAAAAATGAATACATAAATACATAAATAAGGGGAGTCATGAAAATGGAGGCAGCAATTTCCTTTGAAATTTGTGAAATTTTCTCCAACATAATACTCAATTGTAACTCATAAAATTCAAAAGAAAGTTCTCTGTTTAAGCCATCAATATATTCAGAATGAGCAGCTTGAATGATTGCTTTAAATTTTTATGATTCTGGTGGTAAAGTCCATTTGCATTTGTAGACTGCAATATAGCCTATGGATTACACCATGAACATCTTATTTCAGTATATCCTATTTGGATAAATAATCAATAGAACTTCTTTTTCTTACAGTGCATAAAAAAAAAAGTTACCGTCATTTACAATTTAAACCATATGTTTGCTCCCACCTATGGGTTAACATCAGGTTGTTTAAATACATTTAGCAACATTAAACCAACAACAAATTTCAAAGCATCAATAAAATAAAACTTCTCTATCAAAATTGAAGTTACTAAATGATATTAATCTATTTTATAAGTGACAGTTTTGAAAGAAGAGTTTTTGGTTAAGAGGGTAAAAATGTAAAATATTAAATATTAATGTTAATTATAATTAAATATAATTACGTGTTCCCCTTGGTTCTGTTCATTGTGTTCTCATTTTTATAGTTACAATATACAGTCTCTAAACGCTAACCTATTGTTGTATGTTTTAACTTATAAACAGAAAAATAATTTTTATTTTTTTAAAGTTTATATCTTATTATTATGAGAAGCATTCTTGCATAAACAATGATCCTATGAAGTATACTACAACAACAACAACAACAACAATATAATCGAAAGGAATACATAAACTGGAAATCGGTCAATTATTTTACCATATGTCAGCACTGCATATCAACTTACAATCTTTTTGAGTCTATTGAACTGACTATATATGTTGATGGGCTTCGCTGAGTACCATAGGCTCTTTTGGTTAGTAAACAGAGCTCTTGATAAACTAAAAAAGACATATGTTATTATTGAAATAAATATAAAAATATTTATGTGAATAAATAACAAAGAACTGCTTTTCATAGATAAGATATAATTAAATTACATTGTAGGAAAAGAGAAGCTGTGAAGGTGTAACTTGTTACTGATTAAATCATTGGAAAAACAGCCCATAATATCTGAAGTCAAATCATATTACTGGCAGGGATAGAGTATTAATTCAAAGTTATATAGCCTGTTGTTTTATGCATCACTGACTAAATTATATATACAGTGTTAAAATAAAAGAATCTTTACCAACCCTCTCTGACAGTTCATGTAAGTGCTTTGTGAGTTGTTCCACAGTGTTCTGCAGCAGTGAAAACTGTCCACAGGTGGGGCAAGTTGAGCTTAGATGTGGACACTGGGTTAAGTAGCCATGAGGGCCTGAGATGAGATGAACCTCCTGCAATGCACCCTGCAAAAACACAAACATTGGGTGTAATTAGTTTTCTGCTGCTGAAATCTAGTAACTTGCTTAGCATTGATGACATAAATATTATATAACATTGTTATGAAATCTTTGCACAGATTTCATGAAGTGAATGCATATAGGATAGACTGTGTCTGTAGCATTATCTATCCATATGTCACATCGCTGAAATTACAGACTGGATGTCAAAGAAATCTTTTACTGTTGGTCAACATTAAAAGTTGCTGGAAAATTTAATTTTGGTTTTGCACTGGTCCAGTAAACCCCGCTGTCATGAGGACCATATTGAACTGTGTAAGTTTTCTCAAAAGCTGATTTTTATGCAAAAAGGTGGTGCATTGCATAAAATATATACAGGTGACTCATTAAAACACAGGACTTTTACTTGAAGCATTCCATGAAATGGCAGATATTTCATGAAATACACAGAAGAATAATTTCTGAAAACAGTATTACTGTCTTTGCAACACATAATTTCTATCTGTAAAAAATGAACACCAGTGAAAATGGAGTAGACCTATGCTGTGATAAATAACAAGAAAGCATTTAAAATTATCGTTTTCATTCTTGTTGTATGATGAGTCAGAACAGGCTGAACCCAAGCAATTCTCAACTATACCAGAAATTTTTGTGAGTAATGCAGAAGTTAGAAGTAATGGGGTTTAAGGTGCTGTCAGATTTCATTCTAAAAATGGAATTTATTTCTTATGCAAAATCATACAGTGCACTAAAAGTGTCAAATTTAATTTTGCTTTTTATCAGCCCATTGTAACTCCTACTTTACATAATGTTCACATCAAACTGAACAGTTATTGTACAGTGTACACTTAATAAAAGAATTTGGGATTGGGAATAAACAATGTGCTAACTTGCATGATCGTCAAACTGGAAAATGTAGCTAAGTGAGAAGGAAGGAATATTCTATAATTCTCAAGGTGCCTTACTTTAGACAATCTAAATAAGTAAGTCTGTGACAATACCTTACACCTCCTATCTCCCATAATAAGTAATCATTAAATACTCATATGAATATTATCTCTTAGTTGATATTTAATTTAATTGGTGAGAAGTCAGGATACAAATCTGTATTGACTGAATAAACAGTATCAAGGCTTCACTGTTACCTCTTACTCACTCACATGCATGCACGCTCTCTCTTATAAGAAAATTAATAAGTAGGATATTAATATATATATATATATTTTTTTTTTAATTTTAATTATTTGAAATTAAGATATATTCTTTTTTTTTTTTAATTTAATATATATTAAAAGTACTAAACTTACATGTTTTCAACTCAGTTCAGACCCAATGAAGATGTGTATTTTTAAGTCTAATTTTTTTCTGACGAAATGAAGGCTTCTATTCTCTACTAGCCTTTTTTATTGCTAGTGGGGTGGGACTAAGTCCCTTGTACTGCAGCCACTTCTGGCCTATTGTACCAGCCCCAGATGATAGGTGAGGGTGATTGTGGAGCTATTGGTGGAATGAAGATTTCCAGGGGAAACCGAAGTACTCAGAGAAAACCTGCCCCAGTGCCACATTGTCCACCACAAATCCTACTTGACCAGACCCGGGATCGAACCCGGACCGCCGCGGTGGGAAGCCAGCGACTAACCGTTTGAGCTATACTCAACATATTATGATTCAGCATAAAACTTAGTAGGGCTGTCAACTGCAGGGGCGCAAGCACGCACACACACGCATGCACAAGAGGCTTTGTAATTGTGAGACAAAAGCATTGAAATTATGCAATTTCTGGCCACCATAGCAACACACCAAACGAAGGTAAGGTATGTAGTGTCACAAATGATGCTCCAAGGCATCATGTCTGTTCTATGATTACTGTTACAACTTTCATGTGGATATGTGAAGTAGACATATAGTTAGCATTTACTGTGGAATATGACTTAGTTTATAGAGATCAGAACAGTTTTATTCTTTTCAAAACATGCACACAGCAGACAGGGGTATAGACCAATCAGCAAAACTTTCCTTCAAGGCTGCTAAGAACTTCATCACTGATATGGTCAGCATCATCAGTTCCTGAGCATAAAATTTCTTTGTTACTGCAATATATAAAATCAGTTACTGACGTGTTCTATCCTGAAGTTTCTTCAATTAGTGACGCAATGCCCATAAGCTGTGTTTGAATGACAGTAATGTTACAGCCTAAATATACCCAAACCGTATGAAACTTCCTCTAAATAATCGAAGTCCAAGTTGTATTTACATTTATTCTAATAAGGAATTGCTTTTTCTTGAAGAAGGCACCCTATAACAAAAGATATTCCTCCATTAATATTTTCAGTTCAAGCCGATTTTCTGATCGTTTCACATGCGGACAACTGACCCCGGAAATATCCTGGTTTAAACCCATGTGACTACTTTCTTTGGGGACTCCTGAAAGAAAAGATTTTTCCGTAAAAGCCGCAAACATTAATGGAACTGAGAGCACTAATCATCCAGGCCTGCAATGAGGTAACTGAGTACATGTGCTGTCGAGTAACCAGCATCACAGCCCGTGTTGAAGAAGTTGCCGGACATAATGGTGGTCGTATTGAGCACCTGATTCATAGAGGAGACGTCTCCATGCAATGGTTTTTTTTTTAGTTTCTAGCATTGTAACTGAAATAAAGATTCTATTAATAGATCAAATGCTAGATCATTTCGTGCACCATTCTGTATTTCTTTTTTTTTGGGGGGGGGGTAAATATAAAATTATATTTGCCACTTTTTATATTCATGTTGTGTTCATTAATTGGCGGTAAATCCGAACATGTTATGCAACAACGTAAATAAAATTGTTGTGTGACTGTTTTAATCAGAGTGTCAGGACATATCGTGTAGAAGACTTGGGAAAGTTAATCTGTTTTCAACTGGAGTGGGGGAGAGACACGAAGTTTCTCGCCCTCCGTGGGGGAATTTAGTTTTTCGCCCCTACCCCATTATCGGGACAACAGGTCTTGTCATGTTTTTATATATGGGGCGCCTAATAACGCTATTCTA